AGGATATGAGAAGTGCCTAAGGGCTGGGGAGAACAGACCCTGGGGGGCCTCAACCTCCTCACCCTCGGCTCTGATTGGATTATCTTCCCCTCCCCCAGACTAAACTGGTTAGGAAAATCCAAATAACAGCAAGAAACAGAGTATCTCTTTGGCCTTGATGGAGTTGGGTTAGCTGTCAATCAAAAATTCTCCCTCACTAGTTCAAGGAAAAGACAAGAGGTTCCAGTCCCCCTGCAGAGGCTTTCTCCAAATCCCCAGCGCCGGCAGCACCTCCCCCAGCCCTGGCGGCTGGGGACCCTGACCAGCTCTTGGGCGGCTGCTGGCAGACATGTAGCCTTTGGCGGGCCCGGGGCCAGACTGTGACCAAGAGGACATCAGGGACAGAGCCTGAGAGAGACTGAGCCCGAGACAGCCTGAGACCGAAAAACTGAAACACACAGGGCATCAGGCCCATAGAAAGGAAGGAAGGAGGGAGGGAGGGAAGGAAAGGAAACGGGGGATTAGGCTTAAAAGAAGAAGCGAGGGGAGAATTAAAGAAAAGAGGGGAGGCAAGATGGAAAGAGATAGGAGAGCAGGGAAAGGAAGGCGTGCAGAGAGCAAGACAGAGGAAGGGCGGTGATAGGCAGGCAGGATGGGATGGAGCTGGCGGAGCAGCCATGGCATTGTGCAGTCCGCTTGCTTGCCGGGCCTTTGCCGGGGACAGGCTCCAGGCACAGCGGCCACTTCTGTCCTGACACAAAGGAGGAAGAGGCCTTCTCTCCTGCCCTCCCCAACGTCCTGCTCCTGTGGGTACACTAGGCTCCTGGGATACAGAACCCCATTTCGGCCCAGACAGCCTTCCAGGCAGCTGGGGCTGAGCCATGCTCTAGTCAAGGAGCAAAGAAGACATGACGAAGGAGCTTCCATGCCCTGCTCCTCTTTTGCATCTCTGCCGGGCCACAGGGCCCATCGGCCCCAATTTCAGCTTTCCTAGGAGAAAGATCCCCCTGAAGAACCTCTTCCATGGGCCTCTGCTTTGGGGGAGAGCTCTCACGCAGAGTGGCTGCGAGCAGATGCCCCTTTCTCTCCCAGTCTCTTTGGCCACTGCCTTTTTTTCAGCCCTGCCCAAACGGCGGAGGCAGCAGCATGGGGCAGCTGAAATCACAGCTGAAATCCTCCGGCCCACACTCCCTGCTGCTGTCAATTTCCCCATGAAACTGAGGGGAGATTGTCACCTTAGTTATAGAGCGTGAACTCAGACCCTCCCTACTCAGGCACAGGCAGAGCTGTGGATCAGGAAGTAGGCCTCGCCCACAGCCCCCTCCCCACCAATACCCCATTTTGCCTAGGCCTTGCTTAGAGAGTTGGCCTTGGAGAGGAGGGGAGGGGGGGCTGGAAGAGGCTGGGAGCCCCTGAGTTCAGGCCCAGGTCCCTGTGCTTCCACAACTGCATATGGCCTGTACCCCCATTCTCTGTATTTGGAGGTAGGGTGGCAGGTCAGGGCTCTGAAGCAGATTTTCAGGCTCCCCCAAATCCAGGCCTCTAGGGACCGGGAACACAAGGATGTGGGGACACCGCGAAGGAGGGGCTTGTCTTCCCAGGTTCGGGTACTCCTCCTGGATCCCCTGGCAGATTTCAAGACTCCCTTTCACCCCTTCAATTTTCCTCAGCGCAAGTGGGGGAAACTCAAGAGATGGGAGGCCACTGGGAACCCCTGTTGTGGAGAGGGTCACCCCAGCTTCAGCTCGCAGCTCTGTCCTTACTCTGGTTCTGAGAACTCCTCTCCAACCCGCAAAGATCCCACTGGGCCCAGGAAAGCCCCCTAAGGGGGAGGGGCAGCCTTATCCATCACCTCAAACCTGGGCAGCTACGACTGCAAGCAAGCCAGCACCGCCGTGGGAAGGACAGGCAGGCAGGCAGACAGGTTAGAGGCATCCTCTCCCCTCGCCCTGCGCCTCCTTTTTAGTGATTTAAATTCCCTCCGGTTCAATCCACACCGTCAAGTTCGGATTAAATTTAAAACAGGCTTTCCCGGTGCCCCCAGCGGGCTATCCCAGCCGCCGCAGGCGGGGAGGCCGCTCCCGGGTTCGTCCGCACCGCCCGCGAGGAGGAGGCTGTGCTCCATTTGCTTTCATTTTCCATCTCCCCCTGAAATGGGCTCATTTCACCTCTTCGCTGCCCTCTCCCCCTCCCCGCCCCCTCCCTGGTTCCCCTCTACTTTCCCCCCTTCTCTCTCCTGGTCCCTCTTTGTTGGGGAAAACACACCCACACACAACTCGTGCTGGCTAAGGCCTGCGCTGGAAGCAGAAGCGGAGCCCTCCTGGCCTGCCGCGAGGAGACCGCGTCCTGCCCCCACCCCAGGTGGGTATCGGGATCCCCGCGCGCCAGGAGCCCGGCCCCTCCGCCCTGCAGGAGCGAGCCCCCTCGGGCCTGTGAACCTGGCCCCATCAACGCCACGGCCTGCACGCCCGCCGGCCTCCTGCCCCGCCGCCCGGCAGCAAACGGGGCTATTTCCGGCTCCCCCAACCGGTCTCGCTTCCCAGCCTGGGGAGTGGCTGGAGGGGGAGGGCCCCGCAGCTAGGGGTGCTCCCTGCCTGGAGCCCCCATGGCCCTGGCGACTTGTTACCTGATCTTTCTGTGATGTGTGTGTCGCAAGGAAATTTGCAGTGACTTTGGAGCCCAGACTGCGGAAGCGGAGGTGGCGAAAGGAGAGACAATACGGGTACAATTAAGGGGCCTGAGCCGCTAGTCTCTCCCCCGCCCTCCCTGCGCGACTGGGAGCTGTCTGGCCTCCAACCTCAGGGCAACCCGCGAACCTGGAGCCGGAACTCAGCCCCAGGCGGAGGGAACCAGAGGATCTGGCTTCCAGGAGGCTGGGCTCAAGCTCCCTTCCAACTTAGGGGCACAGCCACCAGCCCCACTGAGTTGCAGAGAAGGCAATGAATGAAAGTGCACATTCCGACCAATTGTCCCAAACTGTTCAGCCTTTGGAAGGAGAGCCTAGGGTGTGGGACGGCTCAGACAGACAGACAGACAGACAGGCAAACCGCATCTCCAGAGGCAGACGGACTCACAACATGAGTGTGAGCCTGAAATCAAATACAGGTTCAACATTCCCTGAGGCCTCTCTGCCAGGCCGGTGGGCGCCGATCTCCCTACCTTCTCTCCCCTCCAGGGCGTTGGACAGAGACCTGGAGGACTGGGTCCCTCTGGCTTGGTCCAATCCCGCCTCGGGAAGCGCCTTCGTTACCTGCTCCTCGGCTCCCCACGGCCACAGATGCAGGGCAGCCGCCTCCCGCCCGGGGAGGGAAGCCCCGGCACCCCCCCCAGCCGCCGCCGCCCGCCCTCCTTCCCTCCCTCCCTCTGTCTCGCCCTCCCTCCCTCTCTCCCTCCCTCGCGCGCTGCCGCTCACGGGCCCTCCCGCGGGCAACCTGTTCTGGACCCAATCCAGGTATCTCCGAAAGAGAGAAAAAAGAAAAGACATCCTTATGTGCAAAAGAAAGAAAGAAAGACCCTTAACTGCCTTTATTTTGCATGCTCTGCGCCTGGGTTGGCCTCGGTTCCCGTCCTGGCCACGGCCCTGCCCCTGCGGAGGTGTGCGGGGCCTGCTGCCTCGCCCACG